TTTTTTTGTATTTTTGGTATTTAGTGAATTTTTAAAAGATTTTTTTTACAATTTTTTTAATTTTTAGATGTATTTATGTTAGGTGTGTCTAAAAATAAAAAAAAATACTTAAAATATTAAAAAAATTCAGTAAAAACAATATAACACGGAAAACAAGAAAGTATAATTTTCTCAAAAGAGTTTTTGGAAAACTCTAACCTAGCATAGTGATTGTGGTTTTGAGACAGCTTCATATATATACAGTTACAAAATGGTTTGAATAAATTCTAGTACTTTTTTCTGTCGCAAAAAATATTTCAAAAAACAATGTCTTCTTATTCTTTTGATATAACATTTCTCTTTTCATTCATTTTTTCATCTTCATGTCTCTCTGTCTCTATCTCCCTCTCTTCTCTTTATCTCTTTCACTCATCACTCTTCTTTCTCTCATTTTCTCTCTGTGTCTCTCGCCTATCTCTCTTCTCTCTATCTCTCTCATCTGTTTTCTCTCTCTGTCTCTCTCGTTCATCTCTCTTCTCTCTATCTCTCTCATTTCTTTTCTCTCTCTCTTATCTTTCTATCTCTCTCTATCTCTCTCGCCCATTTCTCTTCTCTCTCTGTCTCTCTTTTTCTATGTCTCTCTCTCGCTCATCTCTTTTCGCTCTATTTCTCTCTCTTTTTTGTCTATCTCTCGCTCATCTCTTGTTTTTCTATCTTTCCCTCTATCTCTATCTCTCTCTATCTCTTTTTCTGTCTATCTCTCTCTCCCTGTCTCTCTCTTACTCATCACTCTTCTCTCTCTCTCTCTCTCTCTACTTGTCTATTTGTCTATTTCTCCCTCACTATGTTCGCCTTGCTCACTCTCTTACTCCCATCTTCTCTATTTATCGAGCTCCTTCTCGATTTATCAATCCACTATAAACGACGTCGTCTTACTCTTTTGAACATTTCTCTTTTCACTCATTTTTTCATCTTTCTATCTCTCTGTTTCTGTCTCTCTTCTCTTTTCCTCTCTTACTCATCACTCTTCTCTGTCTGTCTGTCTCTCTCTTTCTCTATGTGTCTCTGTCTCTCTTCTTTGTCTCTCTCTCACTCATCACTCTTCTCTGTCTGTCCGTCTCTCTCTTTCTCTCTGTGTCTCTGTCTCTCTTCTCTTTCTCTCTCTCACCCATCACTCTTTTCTGTCTGTCTGTCTGTCTCTCTTTTCTCTGTGTCTCTCGTCTATCTCTCTTCTCTCTATCTCTTTCATCTATCTTTTCTCTCTGTCTCTCTTCTCTCTTATCTTCTTTTTTTCTCTCTCGCTTTCTCGCTCATCTATTTCTATCTCTCTCTCGTTTATCTATTTTCACTCTTTTTTTTTCTCTCTCTTTGTCTCTCTCTTTGTCTATATTTTTTCACCCATTTTTTTATCTTTTTCTCTCTATTTTATTTCTCTCTCTCATTCATCACTCTTCTCTCTCTGTCTGTCTATTTGTCTCTCTCTCTCTGTGTCTCTCATTCATCTATCTCTTCGCTCATCTCTTTTCTTTCTCTCTCTCTCTCTCTGTGCCTCTCACTCATCTCTCTCTCTCACCACTCATCTCCTTTACCACTTTCACCACTACTGCAAATGCCATTTCACTACCACCACTACTACCACCGTCGCCATTTCACCTCTACGACTACCATTACTACTACCATCGCCACCACTCCACTACCACCACTACCACTATTGCCACTACTAGTACTACCATTACCTCTCTTTCACCCCTGCTACTCCATCTACTCTACTACTACCACAACTTCACCATTAATCTCATTCGTCGTCACCACCACCACTACCATCATCTCTTATCCACCACCTTCACCACTACTGTCAGTTCTTCTTCTCTACCACAAAATATTAACTCTCTTCTCTCTCTCACTTATCACTCTTCTCTGTCTGTCAGTCTTTGTCTTTTTGTCTCTTTCTCTTTCTCTTTCTCTCTTTGTCTCTCGCTCTTCTCTCTTCTCTCTATCTCTCTCATCTCTCTATCTCTCTTCTCTCTTGCTCATTTATCTTCTCTCTATCTCTCTCTCCGTCTCTCTCGTTCATCTTTTTTCTCTCTTCGTCTCTCTCTTTTTCTATGTCTTTCTCTCGATCATCTCTTTTCACTCTCTTTCTTTCTCTCTCTCTCTCTGTCTATCTCTCGCTCATCTCTTGTTTCTCTCTATTTTTCTATATGTCTCTCTCTCTCTATCTGTTTCTCTCTCCGTCTCCCTGTCTCTCTCTCTATATCTCTTTCTCTCTTTGTCTCTCTCTCTCACTTATCACTCTTCTCTCTCTCTCTCTTTCTCTCTCGTGTCTGTTTGTCTGTCTCTCACTCTTCTCTCTCTCTTTCTCTCTATGTGTCTGTCTGTCTTCTTGTCTCTCTCCCCCATTGTGTTCACCTTGCTCACTCTCTTCCTCATCTCTGCTCTATTTACCGAGCTCTCCACTACAAGAAAATGCACTTTTAGCGACCACTTTGTCTCTCTCTCGCTCATCACTTTGTCTCTGTCTGTCTATCTCTCTCTCTTTCTCTCTCTCTATCTCTCTTCTCTATCTGTCTCTCACTCATCTCTCTCTCACCACCCATCTTCTCTACCACATTCACCACTACTGCAAATGCCATTCCATTATTACCACTGCTACCCCTACAAATGCCACATTGACCATAAAAAATTAACTTTATTTTAATGAAAAATATTATCCCTACTTCTACCAAATAAAAAAATAATAATAATTTTTTATTCATTAAAATAAATATGAAACAAATAAATTTTCAACCTTACTAAATGAAAAAATAAAAATAAAAATTCATTAACTATAAAAAAAATCCCAATATGTTTCTTGTTTTCCATTCTCGCTCCCCTCTCACCCTCCCCCCAAAATCCCCAATCTGTTCAACCAAAATCCCCAATCGGGTTCCGCTCTCCCAAAACCCCAACCTCTTCAACCAAAATCCCCCCCAAAAAACCTAAAATCCCCAATCTCTCCTTCCGTTTGTCTCTCTACCCATTTGTCTCTCTAGGTTTTAGGGTTTTGAGTGTGAGAGAGATGGGGCAATAGTCTTTGATATACAGCTTCGTGGCTAGAGGAATAATGGTTCTCGCCGAATTCACTGGAAATTTCACGTGCATCGCTTCTCAGTGCCTCTAGAAACTCCCTTCAATCGAATTTATTGTTGTTTTTCGTGCCCTCGTGATTCGTGACCGATATCATTTTCTGAAGGTACGCAGATTTTTTTCTTTTTCTTCTTAGCGATTGTGAATTTCGATTCCGATGCCGCGATTTCTAGGGTTTCTGATCGTAATGCAGGTTTTGTAGCGCTTCAATTTGTAGTTGAATCGCTCATATTTGAGACTTCTTGTACCGTTATTTGCGTGAAATCGAGAGACCGAGTTACATCGGGCCCGTTGGATCGGTTTGCGAGGCCTTGTGAGTTGTTTTTCTTTTCTGAATCTGAACATTTTTTTTTTTTGATGTTATTGAGCTGTTTCTGTAGTCGATCTGGTAAGATCGTATTGAGTTAGGGTTTTGTTTTTAATATCAAATTTTATGTCCTTGTATGCATGTTCAATTAACTCTTGTATATGATGAGAATCTATGGAAAAAATTCCAATTTCTTCTGTTTGGTTTGACGGGGAAAAAAATCCTAAATTTTCTTGAGGTGTATAAGAGTTTTTATCACTTACTTGTGAAGTTGACCAAAGAAAACCCTGAATTTTTCTGATAATTTATTTTGTGCCAGGATTTGTTTTCTGTAGAAACTATATGTAGCCTCTCATATTTTGGGTTCTTTGCAATTTTAATAAGTTATTTATTTTTTGTTTTCAGTAGGCAAGCTTGTATTACCAAGAAAAACTAGAATAAGGTGAAGTGGATATACAAATCAGTTTTGTCACCAGAAGGATCATTGTCAAGGCCCATTACAGAGATCTTTTTGTGATATTATAATATTATGGGGTTATTATAGAAACGTGAGTCTTGGGCTATTAAAGCAACTGAAAATACATGAACAGTGCTTCTTTGCTCTCTTATTAAAACTTGTCAGTCATTTAAAGGATTTTTAATCTCTATGGTTGCTACTTGTTATGTCATACTCCTATCACATGCTGGAGGTTTGGTGGCTTATCTACTCCATGTTTTAATTTGTTCATCTATCAGTTAATCAATTCAACAGAACTATTATTGACAAAGATACTTGGAATCCATGAATAAATAGAGGCATATTCTTATGTTCACCTTATTTAAATTATTTGCTGTACTAATTATGCAATGTATATCTAAGCTTATCTACTAATCTAAAATTTGAATGAAAATATGTTCTTGGAACTCTTTCTGATGCCTTACTTTGATCACTGTTGTGGGTAATGGTTCTCTAATCTTGTTTTTTCTATTTTTTCTCCATACATAGGTTTTACTTGGCATTGGGGAGATCATCGCTTCAAGGTCTTGCCCCAAGGTAATCTTCTATCAAGGCATCATGTGTATGCTCTTTGACTAGAAAAGAGTCTGTCGAGTAATTGTTGTAAATTTGGTTGATAGTTCAGGAAGTTACTAATTCCTTTGTGATTGGCTCTGCTGAAAATATTCAGTTGAGGCCCTTAATTCGTTTGATGTTCGGATGACATTAATTATATTCGAAGATTCTAGCTATTAAACACCTATTGTGGCTCTTATTATGTAGGGTTTTCAACATTGTTATGTTGTATTAATGCATTTACTTCCTTTATAGGTACTTTTGTTGAATGGTATTCATGACCGAGAAACTAGCGGCTTTTCTGCTGCTGTCTTTGTAACTGCCATTGCAGATGCTCTAAATCGAACTTATGGGGATCCTCATAATTGTCTCAAGAACCATGTAAGTAGGTAAATTGAATTGTTAAAACTGTTTACATGCCAAGTAAATTTATTATGATAACTCTTTACATGTCAAGTAAATTTATTATAATAATATCATAAATAAATTTCTTTAAAGGATACTTGTTAGTCTATAAATCGGCAAAACAACTTTTGGTATTCATGATCGAGAAACTAGCGGCTTTTCTGCTGCTTGCTTTGGGTTGGGAGGGTTTCGAGCACAATCTAAGTCTAACCCACATAAATAGGTTAGTCTCTCTTAATCAATTCATATACATCATTGTATTTGTTTTCAATTCTCTCAAATTTTCTTTCTTTGCTGTTTCCATTAGTTTGGAGGGATTGAATTAGTTTTTGGTTTCAATCTGAGGACTTGATGCTGCAAATGATATCATCTACGCCAAGTGTTTGTGTTTTTGCTTCTGTTTTTGTAATATGGTGTTTGTTGCTTTCATAGTTTTGCTCGAGTTCAAATCGTAGAATCGTATCAATTCATTACTTGTCCTTCTAAGAATTAGTATATGATTTGTTGTTCAAGCTCTTCGGTGATCGAGTTTGTGTCTCGTTTGGTGGCTTGGGGTGTTGTTTTAATGATATAACTTGTTATATTTGTATATACAATCATGCAGCTTTAATTCTCCGGATTTCTTAGCATATCATTTCTTGCCTTTCTTGACGTCATTAGGGATGGATGCATCACTTATCTATTACAAAAAAAGTATTTAGAACCCTAATTGTTTTCGAGAACCCAAAATAATTCATATACTGTCCCACAGTGGAGGCCTTATCGTGCATATGTATGTCATGTAATCATATATCAGCGAATAAGCATTCTCCCTCACATTCTTGTCAAAATAACTTTTTTTCTTCTCTTCTTTTTTCATTTTTAAATTTTAAAATTTTGACAAATAGATTGCCTAATACTATATATCGAATGACAGTAGTAAGAGATGCAATTAGAAGGCTGTGATTGGTGGGCTTTGCCTAGAGTTCTGTTATTTTGTCAAGTTCTGTTTCTCTGAGACATCTTCTTTCATTGTGGGTTGATGCAATTTTGCATAATTTCTATTACATCATTTGTATGATGCTTCAGCTGAATTATTATGTTTGCCTTTTTATCAGTGAATTAAGGTATGAAAGGTATGAACTCTTCATCAACTCAATTTGCCACTTCAGGAATGATGTGTTTATATGAGAGAATGTTTTTTAGAACTGGGTGCACCAATAAATTTTGTAAAATCTAGTCAATTCTTGTATATTTTTGTGTTCATTCATGTATTTGGTTTCTAGATTCGTAGTAAAACTCTTTCCGGATAAACCACAAACCTAGAAAAAGTGTCCACAAAAATAAAATGTAAGATGTAGATTAATGAATCTTTGGTCTACATATTTTATTTTCTACAATTAAAAAAATGTCTAGCATTACTCTACATTTTCACACCCACCAACCACTTCATGGTTTTTTATTATAATTCCCCATTCCTAAGGTTTGGAAACCAAATCAAGTAACCATCACAATCTTATAACAAATTATTGGTTAATTTACAGGTAATGAAGCTCAAGGAACAGCTTTCCGAGGCAGAGAATGAGATATAGAGGCTACTGGAGAGATGCGATGGTGTTTCAAGCAACAGCCCAGCTTCATTGTTCTCCATGGAAGCCATGGATCCACCTCCTTTTCTAGGGGAGTTTGGGATGGAAGGGTTTGGAAATATTTTATATGTGCCAGAAAACAATTACAATCATGGCATGGATTGGGTTAATCTTATATGATATGTAATTAAAGCAATTCTAGTATTAATGTAGCTAGTGACCATCTTATGTACATTTTTTTTTTTTTTTGCCCTTGGCTTTGTTTTTATGTTGTAGTGTTTCAGTGGTACTTTACATTTGACTAGAAGATGGAATTGTTAATGTTAGAATATAACTTGCTTTTTAATTATGGATGAATTTTTATTTATATATTGGACTTTTTATATTATTATTATATAATTATTGGTTTTTTTTTTATAGTTATTTTTCATTTAATACAGGTCATTTTTATATTTTTAATAATTTTATTACAGGTTTTTTTTTTGTTTTTTTTTTAATTTTTTTTGAGATGGCAGAACACCCCCCGTCTCAAAAAGAAAATTGAAACAGGCTTTTTGCGACAGCACCTATACTGTCGTAAAAGGTAGGAAATATAATTGAAAAATAAGGCCTTTAGCGACGGTATCATAGCCGTCGACAATAGTCATTGGCGACGGCGCAGGTTGCTGTCTCAAATACACTTTTAGCGACGGTATTTTTGCCATGGGAAAAAACCTTTTTAGCGACGGCAATAATGTGTCATCGCAAAAAACTCAGATTTTCATCCATTATTGGCGACAGAAATTTGCCGTCGCAAAAAAGGAATTTTCCCGTCGCAAAAGCAAAGGCAACGGCACTTACCGTCGCTAAAACCCTTTTGCAACCCCTTTTGTTGCGACCCCACTTGCCATCGCAAAAAACAATTTTTTTTTGATTTGGAGGTTTGGGAGTTTATTTATTTGTCCTTGTGTGTGATTTTGTTTGATTTTTTTCTAATGTTGGGTGTGTGTAGGTAAGACAAGTTTTTACATTTCTATTTTTTTGTGGAGATTTTGTGGAGTGATTTGTGGATGAATGATGTTACCCCATTTGTGGTGTTACTAGTGTTCGTTCCTTTTTGCGGTGTTCATCTCTATTATAAAATTGACATTAGTTAACATTTAGAACATCTCCAATGCACTAGGCATATAATACTTGTTAGTTAAAATGCCTAGTGTGATTCACTTTTTTCAATTCCAATGCACTATTTTCAATTCCAATGCACTAGGCATATAATTAGGCATTTTGGCTCAACTCATATTCTCTAGTTACATGTAGCAAGCCTTCAACGCTAGGCAAAATGTATTCAATCATTAGAATCATTTCCCTCCATCTTTGTTGTTGACGTGGCATTCTATTAAATTAATAGTATTTGGATAAACAGCTAAAATAAAAAGTATGGTTGGAGTAAAAACATAAAACAGTTAATAGGCAAAATAAAATATATACTTTATAGTAATATTTAGATACGTAAAATGCCTGCTACCGTTGGAGATGCTCTAATGACCCAAACCACTAACACTATTATATCCCTAATAACCATAACAATGTCAAAAAACAGGAGCCATTTCATGTGTACAAACACATATGTTAATACAAACATCACAATGACAAAATGTGGCCAACAAAACTCACAACGTTACATAACACAATCATTGTTCGGCAATACAAAGTTATACCAACTTGTCAAATGACATCTATACATATAGAACCTACAACGGAATAATGACCACACCACCAAAACCCCAATGTACTCCAAACCACGTTACCATTCACATACAACAACAATACGATGTAAATCGATAACAGTATTGACCCGACATTACATATAAAAATAGACAACGATGTTGACAACACAATCAGAATATTTATCAAATAGGTAAAATAATATCAAAACATATACTTGACGCCATTACCCACTAACATAATTGCCGCCAACGACGCAATGAGGAGTGTACACACGCCAGTTATATGTCGGTAACATTAACCCAATGACAGAATAGTTCTCGATCCTAATCGTTGTATTGACAGAATTGGAGATTTGTACTTCTAGGGTTTTGGAAGAATCAAACGTCAGAATTGGCAACACAAATATAGTGTTTAACGTTGCTAAAATCTAATAAACAACAAACAAAGCAATCTACCCCGATTAACATCATGAATCTACAATGTTTCCATCTTTGTCTCTTCTATTTTGATCAGGACAAAGGGAAAACAAAAAAAGAATATGATAAGCGTTTTGGGCACAAACGTAATTTTTACATCACTGAATCCCTAATTTACCCATAACATTTGGGACAATACGCGCTAACACCATGTATAAAAATGTCATTACCACTCAAATGGGACTTATCAGTGCATAAAATAGAAGGCAGGACTAAATGATTTAAAAGCTTCTGATTTGGGATTTATAGGTACACTATGGAGTTTTTTTTTTTTTTTTGGGTAAAGTTTTGGAATATCACATCATACCCGTCACGTTGTCACATTTAAAAAAAGTACACTAAAGAATTTTTAATTTTTTTGGAGTGTCACATTAATAAAAGGATATAGATGTCCACCAAAACACTACCAAAAACAAAAATAGGACCACGCGGAAAGAAATTTTCCACTAATAGGACTTAACAGATCAATAGAAAAAATTTAGGACTAATTGAAATATTTATTTGTAAGATGAAATTTATTGATAAATATCCCTTTAAGTAATTTGTATAATTTATTTATACAAAATTTCTATTTACGTATAAATAAATTTATACAAAAATAGAACCACTTGTTTTTGTTTGCTTCGGCGTTTTGTTTGGGTTAGAAGGGAAGTTTCCAAGTCTTGACATCAACCATAGACATCTATATCCAAGACTATTTTAGTAGGTAGGTAGCAATATGTTATAGGAAATTTGGCTATAAACCCCCTTTACCTTCCTTTCATTATTAAAAGGACTAAAAAAAAATTATACTTTCTAAACCCCCACATAATTATAAAGTCTTGCATAAAGGACAAAATTTATTATTTAAATATTTTATTAGACTATTATACCCTCAATTAAATTTTCCCACCTTTCTTCCTCTTTCCTTTCTGACTTTGTTCTCCGCCGACGTGCTCCTCCTTCCAGATCTGAAGCTCTGTTTCTCGACAATTTTGGTAACTTCTTCTTCTCCGGCGATGATAGCAACGTCATCGTTATCACTCTCCTAGCCAAGTCCGGTCAGTTATCAGGCGAAACTCCGGCGATCAACAATGTCGAAACCGATCTCTATGACGAACTCATCAAGAACATCGGGAACAAAATCAACTACAGGCCGGAAAATTGTCCTCCGGTGCCGAAATCGAAGGAGATCATCTAAGAGGAGAAACAAATCGTCTCTAAATTGAGGCATGTTTGGTGGAGTTGTTTGGTTATACATATTTTTTTAAACACAGATTTGAGTTTTGAATATATGTATATATATATATATATATATTTGTGTGTATGAGTGTTGTTGAACACATGTATTCTTTTCATTGAGATTTGTGATTGTTGATCAAGTTTTAGAAGTTTTTCTTCTCAATTAGATATGTTGATTTGTTGATTAATTTGTTTTGTTTTTGTTTGTTTGTTTGTTTTTTTATTTTATTATTTATTTTTGTTGTTTTTTATCTAATTTCATTTGATAGAACCAGAGTAAAATTTTACTCTGGTTCTATTGCTCTGTTTTTTGTTTCAGATAATGAGAGTAAAATTTTACTCTTGTTCTATTGCTCTGTTTTTTGTTTTAGAGAATTAGAGTAAAATTTTACTCTGGTGTTAGAATGACAGTAAAATTTTACTGTCAAGAGGTGGTCATTACCAAACACTTCAACCACCACAAACACTGCCTTCGCTTTTTTACTTTTGTGCAGAATAACATTTTACTTTTAGCTTCAGAGTCTCACAGTTTACTTGTTTTTCAGAGTAAAATTTTACTTTTATATAGAATAAAATTTTACTTTTGTGTAGAATCTAACATTTTACTAGTTTTTCAGAGTAAAATTTTACTTTTATACAGAGTAAAATTTTACTTTTAGCTTCAGAGTTTCACAGTTTGCTCATTTTTCAGAGTAAAATTTTACTTTTATACAGAGTAAAATTTTACTTTTGTGTAGAGTCTAACATTTTATTAGTTTTTCAGAGTAAAATTTTACTTTTATACAGAGTAAAATTTTACTTTTAATTTCAGAGTGTAACATTTTACTCTTATTCAGAGTAAAAATTTACTTTTATACAAAGTAAAATTTTACTCTGAAATACACAGTGAAGATGTTTTAATAGGAGAGCTGATAGATATGAGGGTAATATAGTAAAAAAAACAAGTTTTAAAATATTAGGGGATTTTGAAAGTACTTATATAATTCTTGTCCTTTTAAAAGACAAATTAGATAGTGAGAGGGCTATCACCAAATCCTCCAAATTTTATCTTTAAAATCTTAATTTGTTGCAGTGACTTCAATAGTCCCAAACAAGAACTAAATAAGGCCTCCCAGAGCATGTTTCTTAAGGGTGTGTTGGGTTTATAAATTTGAGAAGGAATTTAGAAAATGAAAGGGAAAAGATATGTAAGAGACTATTTTGGTAGGTAGGTAGCAATATGTTAAAAGATATTGATTATCTAAAAATTGAAGAAGAATGAATGTTTTTAGTTTCTATTTTCTCATTAATCAGTCCAACACCTTATAAGAGTTTTAAGGACTAAATTTTTTATTTTAGAAATAAAAATTTTGTTGCAAACATTTCACCATCTTTTTCCTTTTCACTTTCCAAATTCCTCCCCAATCCTTAAACCAAACACATCATTATAAAGGTAATCCTAAAAGGATTCACTTGTGTATAAATTTTTATTTTATTTTATTTATCTATAGATACCATTCCTGCAGATCCATCAATATGATTTGTAATTTCTTGTATTTTGTGGGGAAAATGATATTTGCAATTTGTCATGGATGAAGTTCACTAATATTTTTCATCACTTGCATCATCATGTATACATCATGTTTGTTATATGAATCAATGTAGTAGAACTGTCTTAGTACACGAGTCTTCCGCTATTGTGAGGTGAAAAAAAATTAGATGAATTTGGTGGGGAAAATGATTTTTGTACCGGATGAATTTTGCTAGGTATTTTTCACCACTTACATCATCATATACATATTGTGTTTGTTATGTGAATTAATGTAGGCTGTTTAAACGCAGGAAGCTA